CCTACATCCTTAACTGAGTGTAGTCTTAAAATATTCAAAAAACCTCCACCAAAACCCAGGTGTTTTACAAAATTTGCAACAACAAAAGACGTTCCCTTACCTTCCTTGTCCGTGAGCACTTCCATTCTGCCGCTGAACATGGCCTTAAGCATCGTGTCGTGCCTGGTCAGTACTTGCACCGTGGTGTAATACAAAGAGCCCCCAACGTTGAGGCGCACGTACTTGTTCCCAAGGCTGCCCCCCTTGAAGCTGCAAGCTTTGGGCCTGGGCCCTGCCGCTGGACAGAGGGTGGTGGTTAGACACGTGTCCCCTGACATCTCCTTCTGTAGGTAGATGACAACCCTGCAGAGCGTGGGCTTGGCGGATTCCGCCGTGATTGGTGAAGGGTCACAAGTCACCAGATGAGGACGGCAAGGCAGGAGCGGTCATAACCACTGGACCCTTGAGACAGAAGAGCGCAGGATCAATACAGAAACCCAGGATTTCCATTTACAACAAAAACACGCAGCCTGCATTAAGGAACAGATCCTTTCAGCAGACTCCTAAGGACACACCTACACACATCCTGACAAACCAAGATTTACCTCTTTTTCAGACAACTTACACAGCGACAGATTCAGCGGAGTTACAGCTGCGTTACAGTTAGGGAGGCACCCCCCACTTTTCCAGGGTTCCTGGTATTTTGCTGCAGTCCAAGTTTAAATGCTGGCTGGAATTTGGCTCCTTCTCAACGTCCCAGAAGAATGCAGCTCTTTTTATGCAGAGCTGGAACACAATGGAAGCACTTTCTGCCCTTCCTTCAGCTGGGGTGTGTATCTACATGTGTGGGGTTTGCTGATGGTGGTTTGTTTGGTTTTTTCACTGGAGACATTCACAAAGTCTCTTCGAATGCCTCGACACTGAAATGTGGGACTATAACGTTCTATTTCCTGACAACTCCTTTCATTCAAAACTCTTCTTCTTCCATCCTGCAATGCCAAGCAGTCAATGTAGTTTTAATTAAAAAAAAAAGTTAACACCACACCCCCACCAAGTATGTCCAGTCTTTGGAATATTTGTCTCCATTAAAAAGCCAGATAGACATTCACTGCTGCTTTCTCTTCACCATCTCGTTACCCTTCCATCAACAACGAGCTCAAAATGGAACGAAATAAATAAAAGAATTAAACTTTAACGGGCCATATCCGAAGTTCTTTAACCAGAAATGTATGAACAGAAGTTTCTTACCTATCCTTCTTCTAATAATTATTGTTCTCACAGACATTCTACTGTTGGTTTTTTATTGTTGTTGTTTTTAAACTCTTTCAGACTACGAACACCTCCTCCCTTCTCTGTTCTGTGCCTATGGCACATGAGCAAACTTTTATAAATAAATATAATAACCCGCTAATTATATTGCTGTTCTTCCTACATCCCCCTTCCTTCTCACCCCACCGCAGCTTTCAACAGAATAAAAACCCCCAGCCATCTGTCTCTACAGCAAATTACCTAGCACCTACGGATGGTATCTTAAAACTGCCAGAGATGTGAATAACTACTGAACATAGAACACCACCCAAAACAGAACGCTATAATGCGAATCCTAACTCAATTATTCTAATTAAGCAAGCACTACAAATGATGTCCATTATATAACCAGGAATATAAATGTTACGCAAATCATCACAACACAAACCATTTCTAAGAATTTTAGTGGCAGAAAAAGTTCAGTTTGTCTATAAATGCTTTAACAGGAGCTCCCGCTAGCTGCCATCATTCTTTACTTTCAGGAACCACCATCAAACACATCCGCAAACACCAGCCTACAGCTGGGCGAGATGAAGTTTTTTCCGGCTGCATCACTTGAGTCAAGCAGTCCACGAGCAAACTGCAGTCACCAGCAACCACATGCTACAAGTGGAGCTGGCCAGAAAAGTGATTCCCTGGTAAACAAGCAGCAGCAATCAAATACCATATATCACAGTGGTGGTGTTAATAAGAATTACTCGGACAAAGCAGCTAAGGGTTACTGAGAAATCATCAGAAATTGTTCAAACAATGGAAGTGACACAGTTCCTCTAACTAGTCACAGGTGTTTGCCATAATCTATTATGAATAAGTAAATCAAGAAGCACCTACACTTGTCTCACAGTGAGAGCTTTGGTAACATGCCTGAGGTCACCGATGACCTGCCTTGCTTTAACCCCTCCGCAACCCCTTCCTTAGAACAAAAGTACGTTTCTCAAGACAACCAGACTGACCCTGTAACAAGAGAGAAATCCAGATGCAAACAGGTCTCCAACTTCAACCACGACCCATCTGAACACATCAGAATGGAGTTTTCAGTCAGTTCTACCGCTTCAGGCCTCTACTTACTTCTCGGAGCAAGCAGAAGGGAGCTAAATCCCTGCAGAGTCAGTACCACTACTCCGCCGTGCTCCGTAGCTAACCAGCCAGGAGGCTTTTGCTGTGAGCAGTCATGTCACCTTTAATCACCCCATGGACACAAGAGAACACTTTCTGCGTCCCTTCCTTCCTGCCCTGCGTGGGAGGACTGTGGAACAATGATACACAGCTCGGACACGGCAGCAGGAAACGCTCCCTGCTGAGAGCTGCCATAAAAAGGAAAAACCTGAGCGGCTGGAGGGGAGAACCCCCCACCCGGGACCCCCCTGCACAGACCCGCTGCACACCGGGCTCGCGTCTGGCCTCAGTCCTCCCGCCCCTTCCTGCTTTACACCAGGCGGCCCCCTCGGCTTC